TGGTTTCATTTCACATATTTTTCATACAATGAAAATGATTATGATACATTAAAGATAGCTTTTATTTAGAAAAAAAGTAAAAAAAAGTAGATCAAAAATAAAATATATATAAATCTTTTTTCGCATTTGAGTAGTGCTCTTGCCGCCGTAGCCGAGTGCTTAGATGTGCCTACTGCTTCTCGGGAGGTACATGATTCAATTTCTGGTCCCAGCAACATCAAAAAAGGCAAACCTCGCAGTGTAAATACTTCTTTGGAGCTCTCCATTAGGAATTTCCCTCAAACTGCAAAAGGCCTTTAAAACTTCGAAAAAATTAAAAGTTTTATTGGGAGTTCACGATTTGTATGAAATGAAAAACAGAATCGGTTTTTTCGATATTCGAAAAACCAAGATTTCAAAAGAACCGCCTACAGACAGCAAAAAAAGCGGTTGAAACCGGTTTGGAAAACCTGAGTCGATCGCCCATTGCAGAATCGAGGACAATGAGCCCGTTGACGTGAGGTTGCAAAAGAATGATATCTAACTTCCTTTTTTTGGACCAAAAACATCCTGTGGACACAGTTGGTCCACTTCGAGAACCATAATTGCTGATTGGGTACACTTTGAACGCAGTAAATACTCTGAAGTGCAGGGCGCCGTAGACAGACCAGGCTTTTTGGCTACACTTTCAACAAAAGGGATGTTATTTTATTAAATATAAATGACACCAGGCTACTCTTTGGGTACCGTACAGTCGGTTGTGCGATTTCAGATGCACCGAATAGATGTGACCAAAGAGTCAGAATGCCGGCTCTGTCTTGCAGATGATGAGACAAAACATATTCACTGTGAATAAGAGATTAACTCATTTTATAGATCCATTTTACAGGACAATATGAAGTATAACAAGCTACTAAATAAATACACAAATCACGGGATTACTTCAAGACCTTGGCCCCATTGGTATCCACTGAGATAATGAACGGCGCAAACCACGGAAGGACAACCGCCTCCGGCTGATGGCTCCAAGACTTGCCATGGTGTCGCATCAGCTCCGAAGGCTTCTTTTCACTAGGATATTGCACCTAACTTGACAACAGGAAGGCGCTCTAAGTGAAGTCCGAGCCACTTTAAAGAAGTGGATATGCCTTCAGCGTTCAATAATAATTGCAGGCAGGAACCAGTCTTACACCATTTGGATACCGATTTAGGAAATAAAGAGGTAGGTATCATCGCTAAGAGAGGAACTTTTATGGGTCTAATAAGAACCGACGCACTCCGTCAACTTACTAGTCTTAAAGTAAACATTTCTTCATGTTTTCTTATTAGCAAATTGAGGGAAATGCGCCAATGTGAAGTCCTCACTACGCCCAGACTTCGTTCCCTATGTTCGCTGTACACATGCCGTCAATAGAATGACCTCATGTCAATATGGTTTTCATAATATTTACATATTTGGGAAAATTATATAATTTTCTCTATTTAAGCTAAAATTACCTGTGTTATTTATATGGAAAATGGAAATTCGCGATAAGCGCTCTCTAAATATTAATACAAAGTCATGCGCTTTTGACAGGTGGATTTTCCTCATTGTCCCAAAAATACATATTTTACAAGGGAGTGGAAAAAGTGGATTTCTTTGAACCAGTCTAGTATGGATCCTGCAAACCACATGTCCAATAATTTTCTCTGCATTCAAAAAAAGGGCAATGATAAGTTTTGAATTGTCCGAAAACGGCAAGTGACAGCGCCACAACCATATTACACCAAGAAACGAAGCGCTTGTAGCACAGGTAATCAATTCAATCGATAAGTGTCACCTTCTTTCTACAACGTAAGTAAAAAATGCGTACCGGAAGCGAACTGATACATTAGCAAATAGTTAATGCGTACAAGTAGTATTATCTATGATTTCCTTTCCCACCTACAATAACGCACTTTGTTAATGTTTTTTTTCTTCACTTGAATTCTTTCCGCAGCTGCATTCGCAAGGGTGACAAAAGGAACACTAATAAAAAATCGAGGAAGCGCAATATAATTTGCTGATTACAATTTCTTGGAATGTGCTCTGCGGCAATAACAAACACTTGTAGATTTTTAACAAGAATTTAATTGTAAGTGTATTGAGCAGATTTCATTTCATATTAACAAAAAACAAAAAACAATAAATGGATATATGGCAGACTGAAAGAAAAATAAATCTGTAAGTTGAAGCGATAATGAGATCTAAAACGCCTTCATTAGAAGTAGGGTGCAACGATTTTGGCAACGTTTTTTTTTCAGGGCGTAACAAATTACGGTAAAAACCCTGCAAACCAAAGTTCCCGAAATCTTAACGAAATCTTTAGGAGTATCTGATTTCTGTAACGATTTTTTCCCGAATCTTCAAAGAAAATTATATGAAGTGGTTGACACGAACTCGTAAAGAAATTTCTGTACGAAAAATAAAGAAAATTCTGAAAAAAGTCTGCAAGAAATTCTTCACATAGCAACATTATTTTCATTTCTTTACCGATTTTCTTCCGAAATTTCGGAAAAGAATGGAAGTGTGCGTAATTTATTTCATTTTAGAAAATTCGGCAAAAAATCGGATGGGATCTTTCCGAATTCTTTAAAATTTCTTTACGATTCAGAATACTCTGATAAAATGGTTTGCAGGGAAGATGTGCAGGTGCGGAAATATGGAGGTGAAAAACATTGGATAAAAAAGTATTCTGTTTGTTATATCAATGTAAGACTGCTTTTACACAGTTCAAGTATTGAATTCAATTCTGCTCGCATGTGGAAGAGATGGGTGAGAAGAAAAGGGACGAGTACACATGCGTCTGCACCGTCAAGTCGTTTCAACTTTCTTGCTTTGCTTTCCCATTTAAAGAACCAAAAACTTGAATTCAACAGAATTGAAACGTGTAAAAGCAAATAGAAAACACAAAAAAGAATGAGCAAGAATTGCTTTCAAGTACTTGAATCATGTAAATCGGGTGTAAGACAAAAAAATTGCATGGAAGTGTAGCGAGTAGCAAGGTGAATAAAAAAAAAACATGCATTACAGTAAACATGTTGAAAGTTATCCTACTAAGGGCCATTTTCTCAAGTAGAATTTAAAATTGGTCTGTCGTTTAAACACCAATTTTAAAACCTAATTGTGAAAACGGCACAAATGCCCGGTTTCTTGAATCAATTTTAAAATTTATCAGACCGTTAAAACTTAAAATTTATTGGTGCAACCGTCATAATTAATATTGAGGCGTATTCTGGTTTTCGTAAGAATAGAAAATTTTAAATTTTTGTATATGAAATGATGGGAAAATTTCAAGATTTTCGATTTGTACGAAAACAAGAATATGCCCAATTATAAATATGAAAGTTTGATTCAGGGAAATTTTGCGCACAGATGGAATATAACCTGATTGGCCGCCTTTTCCAAAAACTAAAAGTAATAAAATTATAAGTAAAATTGAGTATTACAAAAATGTGGGTTTTAAAGGCAATTGATTCAGAAACGATTGATTTCGAAAATATTTTTGAATGGGGTTGCCACATATTCACCAATTCAAAATCAATTTAATTAACATGCTAAATCAAGTTTTTTAAGATGAGAATCAGATGAGGGTTGCTTGAGAGCTATATTTCCAAAATATTCCTTAATAAGATTGCCACATATTTAGAAATTTAAAATCAGTTTAATTAACAAGTTAAATGGAATATATTAACACGAGCATTAAGCGAGAGAAGTTTACTAAGACTCTTAACATTTTTAAAATATTTTGAACGAGGGCTGCCACCTGTTTACAAATTCAAAATTAACTTAACAACCAAGGGAAACGAAGTAGTTTTATATCGATGTCAAACGATTAAAGTTTACGAAAGCTTTAATTCAAAATATTTTCGAAGAGGGTTGCCACCTGTTAAGAAATGTGTAACCAATATAATTAACAAGTTAAATGAAATAGTTTAATACGAGCATCAAACGTAAGAAGAATAAGAGAGCTCTGTGCAGTTTGAAAATATCCTGGGTTGCCACCTGTTTAGAAAAAAAAATTTAATTAACAAGCGATATTAAATAGTTTACTATGGATGTCAAAGGAGAAGTAATAACGCAAGCTTTATTTCTAAAAGTGAGCAGATTTATAAGATACTTTTGAAGAGGGTTGCCCCCTGTTTGGAAGTTGAAACTCAAAATATTTAGCAAGTTGAAAGAAACATAAACATATAACATCAAACACATTTTACACCGTGCAAGGGCAACACTTTTTGGTAGAAACGAAATCACCATTAATTTCACCTGTTTAGAAATTCAAAATCAATATTTGTAATTAACAAGTTAAATAACATAATGGGTATCAAACGAGGGCACTTTAAGAGAGCTGTATGTTTCTTGAACATACTTTTACGAGGGTTTCCACCAGTTTAGAAATATAAAACGCAGACTTTTATTTATAAAAGTCATAAATAAAAATCAGTCACTGACCTTTATTTTAATTTGAGTCTCGGTGAAAAAAGATATCGATTGTTAGGTATCACTTAGTTGTAGAACATTTCCTTCATAGTGAATTTTTCCTTGACAATTTTCACCAATAACTGTTATGTTCGGTCCCTGTCACTGACATTAACAATTTGCTGAGACATAATTTGCAGGTACAATTGAGTAGATGAACTCACATTACAAAATTCAACAATAACTATAATACCTGTAAAGTTGTTTTGGCCAATTAACAATATCACAGTCGGTATTGCCTGCACGATGGCTGTGATGGCTTTGTGTTGCATACATACGTAGATACAATGGGCAATATTTGTATTTAGATAAAATATATACGAAAAAAAACAATATTTATTCAACTCTTTACAGCCAGTTGCATGCAGCTAATGACAAAATCACTTGTAAATTGTAAAACATTTTGCTTTTTAATGGTTTGTGATTTTGCTCAAATTAGCGCGATCGTTCGTATAATCCTCTGGAAAAAGTATATAAAAACGCACCGCCAATGTGTAAATCTGTCATCAGTATTTCGGTTGTAGAAAATGTGGCACAAGTTACAGCGCATAGCAATTTGCTGTCTAGTTATAGCTAGTGCAAACGCTGAGGATAATGATGCAGATAAGCTTTTTCGGGATATGGAAGTGGTGCCGGATATATTTGAGGAGTCGCCAAAAGAGTTGCTGAAGGTATGTGTATATAGCAAAATATAATATTAAATGTTGTATTATTTGCAAGTATGTATAGTAAAAAAAAAAAATCAAAAAATATATAACTTGACGTTAGCTACAAAAAGCTAACTTGAAACTAGTTGACAAGTAATGCTGGAGTAATGAAGGAGATTGTTTTTTTAAACGCTTTTCTATTTAAATATCCTGCAATTCGCAAATGCTTTTTCGAATTGAGGACAAATAAAAGAAAGATCGAAATTTCATATTATCATTTTGAAGTTATGTCTGACGGAGTTCGAATATGGACCACCTACAGCAGAATATGTAAACAAATATGAAATTCAATAAAATAAATAAATATAAATATAAATAAAAAAAAATTTGGTTTTTCCTATTGATATTTTATGTCCAAAAGTAACTAGTTACAAGTTAGTTACATCAAATGCAGAAGTAACCACCCTTGACTACATCTATTGACTAATTCGCGGCCATCGCCATAGAAATATAGTTAGCTTTCGTCAAAGAAAATATACAGATAATAAGTGAGGTTTATATAGCTCCTTCCTAATCAACTTAATATTAGCTTATAGTTAGATACAGTCCTACTGGTGCTGAAGACAGGCTGCCCTCTCCACATTGTTAACCTCAGCTCTCAAATACTTCACGTTTGACACCCATGTTGTAAAGTTTAGTTTATCTTATTGATTAAACTTAATTAAATTTTTTCGATAGTAAACCTTCTAAATCTTCTTCATTTTCGTAACCCTCCTGTAATATTTAATTTATATATTTAAGTAAATTAAATGTTTAAAACAGGTGGCACGTAAAATACATGAAGTTCCAAAAAGGAAATATATTTACCTTACATATTATTTCAAGGCAGTCCTCTGTTTATGAAGGACACTTAATGAGCTAAGAACTTTAAGTATTTTTGTTTTCATCTGAGAATTCACTACCAGTTTTGTATTAAGTAGAAAAATACATAAATACTTCAATTATTTATTTTTAGGTTACATACGAAAATGGTCTAGATGTGGGCGGCGGCAGAGAATTTACACCCACCGAAACGAAAGATGAACCAAAAGTGGATTGGACCGCTGAACCAGATGCATACTACACACTTATAATGAACACTTTGGACTTTTGGGTATAGATTACAGATGTAAATATATGTAAATAATGAAAATTTAGCATATAGAGGTGCATTCAAAAATATTTAGAAACATTTATTTAAGACCAGAAAGAAATTTATGGGTTTCTATCTTATAACACATTTGAGCCGTGTCTACATAAGTACTTTTTTTACCAATGTTGACAAGAGCTGGACACACACACAGGCACAGATGGAATTCTGGATATTTGCTTAGTAATTCTCTAGACGAAAGTTGCGGTAAGAAATATTATAGTTATATTATAGAGAATAAATTATTATTTATTATAAATAAGAACGAATAGACATTGAAATTGTCCTGTTAAAATTTTTTCCTTGAAATTCATAAAAATATCCACTTCAGATCTTATATATATTTAGGCAAACATATTTCCTTACGCCCCTTTTACGGCTGAACTATACTTCAAAGGTATAAAGAGTTATACCATTAGAAAGGTATTTAAATAAGTTTAATATAAAGCGAAAAAATCATTTTAAAAGTGACACCAATACCGTTGACACAGGCACTGAACATTTACTGATGAAAACTGTCATGGAAAAATTCACTATGAAGGAAATGTTCTACAACTAAGTGAATCACACCAATCGATTTCTTTTTGCACCGAGACTCAAATTTTTTGCACATAAGACTCAAATACATTTATATTTGCAATTTTTATGCCAAATTTAAAAAATTAACAATTATTTTTGATTTTTATATTATATGTCTTAGATAACAGTTATTGAAGAGTTTTATTTATAAAAGTTATCAATAAAAATCAGTTACCGACTTTTATTTTTTAAGTTAAGAAGGTGTTGTTAAGAAGGTGTTGTGAAACAAAAGTTTACTTATACAAATGACTTTGAAGAAATAAAGATGGGTGACTGATTTTTATTTAAGACTTTTATAAATTAAATTCTTCTATAACTGTTATCTAAGACATGTTATTTAAAAATAAACAAGTAAGAAAGTCTAAGTTCGGGCGGAGCCGAACATTAAATACCCGGCGCAAGTATTAAATATATGTTTTTTCACCCTTCCGAAACCTTCCGCTAGATGGAAAGCCGAGGTGTATCAATTTTGAGTAAATTAGAGTCCTTCAATTTCGAAATATTGAAGTTTCAAGCCTTTCTTAAATTTAGCGTTATATGAGAATCGGCCGTTATTTTAGTCCGATTTCAATAATTTTCAACGTTTTGCTTACACGTGGCAAGTACAATAACCATACCGAGTTTGGTACAAATTGGTAGAACGGTTACCGATATA